TGTCTTGTCGTTCAAAACCTGACGATAATCATATGAAGCCTGAAGGGTCTAGCCAGAACGAGAAAGACAGGGACAGACATACCAATTCCGAAGCCAAATTGGGCAATTCGTGGCGCATTCGATGGGGCAGCGCAAAAGCATTGGAATCTTCCTGAAGATGGCCGGTAACCTCCTGACATACGGCCAGCAGGAAAGATTTGGGGCCTGGGTAGGCGTCGGCGACGAGTTCGAGCGACTTGTGAATGCGGGCAAAGCGGTCGCGGCGGTCTCTCACTCGTTGGTTCGCGGGAGGGCGAGGGTGGAGGGAGAGGAAACGGAGGACAGAGAGTAGAAACTCGGGTAGGCATTTGTCCCTGATAGATCGGGCGTCCCAGAGGCTATCGCGTCCCTCGGTGACAACCTGGAGAACGAACTCGGCAGAACGAAGAGCCACCTCCCAGCTGACGAGGAAGCCCAGGAAGCGGCTGACCTGGCGGGATTCCGAGGGCAGGGTGAGACGTTGGAGGTAAAAAATGACGTTGAGCTGGGAGAGAAGCGCCGTCACGAGACGCTGGTAAGCCTGCTTGTTGTTCTCGGAGGGAGAGGTGACGCAGGCGTGGATCCGTTCCAGGGAGAAACGGCCGAGTAATTCGAGTATGATATCGTCGACGTCGCTGCGAAGGGATAGGTGCCTCCAGATGTCAACCAAAAGGGCGAACATGGAAGACGATGGACCTGACGAGGCCATCACGATGTGGACGACCTGGGAAGGAGGGGAGCGGGGCTCAAGGTCCACGACTGACAAGAGTGTGCGTCTTGATATGCGTCAACGAGCACATCTCGAGGTGGGCGGGGCATTCGATTCGGCTGGAGGGACGCGGGCAGTGGAGCGTCGTCCCGGGGAGCAGGAGCCCGGGAGGAGCCTTGGGAGAGAGGCCCGATGCTGTGGATCGGTAGGTTATCCGATCTGCTGTGGGAGCCTACCTATGGGAGTCGGTAAGAGAAGTAGACGTCTAGGGCATATTTAGGGCATGCTTTGAGAGACACGGACCACCTGACCCCGTACTGTTTTAGCGCTGTAGACAGTGGGGTTGTAGGGACCGGTACTCTCCGTACAAGAGCGTACCGGATAGGTCACGTACCTTAGTTTTGGTCAGTACCTTCGGTAGCTGTGTCAACCGCGGGGCTGGGGTTCTAATCTCGGTTTTTATTTTATTTTTGTTCCCTTCGTTTTGACTTTCTTTCCCAGTTGGATTGTTTGGGCCTTGATTCGTCTGTGATAATCAATTGGACCAGACTCGATCTCGTGACTATACGATACAAGGTAGACAGGACGATTAGTTCTCAGACTGACATATTAAGTACCAGGGCAAAGGACAAGGAGCAACGAGCTTACGATGATCGGCAGGTCTTTGGGCCGAGTCTGAAGCTATGACTTGTTGGTGATGTGGGAGAAATAAAAGGGGGCAAAAGATGATCAAGGTCAGGCGGAGAGGGAAAGAGGGTAAGGGGAGAAAAGGAGGTGGAAGGGAGAGAAAAGGATAACTAAGAGACGAAGAGCCGATAGGGCCAGGGGAGGGGTCGAGGATCTCGGGCGTCAGTTCCGGACAGATCATCTATGGATATAGGTAAATCGTCACCAAGAGTTCAAGGAGGGGCTGAAAAACCATGACATGGAGGTATGTATTTTATGGTGATAGACCCCGCATTGGAGATGGTAGGGGAGGACTTGTAGGAGAACTCAAACTTCATACCTACAGCTCGCCCCAGCGCTGCCTTCGAGCCAAGCCAAAGAGTGTCAACACGCCGAGTGTACTAGAGGTACGGAGTAGTAGAGGAGGAATGAGGGGCACTTGGGTAGTGGACCGCGGGAACATTGGGAAGAGATGTGGGCATGCAATAAACTCATATGTGTACAGAATACATGTACGAACTAAAGGTTCAGAATCCAAGCTTAACTAGTGCATCCAACGAGGGTTGACACCCATCTGTAACTTGTAAGTTAATATTAAAGTACCTAGCTTGCATGTGTTGGTGTTTTGGTTTGTTCAAGCAAGGTGCCTTGTAATTAGCTTGAAGTTATATAACTTATAAGAACTGTACTCCGTACTTCGCTCTTCGCTACTTACTTGGCGGTAGGTACGATTCGAACGAAGCCGGTGGATGAGTAGGGTTACACCGCAGCTACGCCATCCACCACGTGTGTATAAAGCCCAGTCATTGGCGGACTGTCCTTCTAGGCGTCTCAGATACGCTCGATATTTTGGCCGAGTTGAGTAGGTAGTTAAGTATGTTTCTTATCTTGTGTAGATGTGGTCTTGAAGTGGTATGCGATAGGTAGGCATGTCCGATGTCGATATAATGTGCGTCTGTACTCGAGTACCGGGTACGAGGTTAGAAAGAAAGCACAGGCAGGTAAAGAACATAGTTGACGATGACACGAACAAAGGCCTTCACGTAAGAAAAAAAGAAAAAAAAGAAGAAGGGGGTGTGTGAAACAATGAACTATGCCCGAAAAGAAGGGGCATGGTTATTTTTCTATTTTTTCACTCGTACATCCCGGCATGTTGGGCTGATGTATTCAGGGATGCTTTACCGTTATCAGCCTAGTTTAGCCACAACCATGAATGTGATTGATTTCCTCCGGTTCACCACGGCGGATCATGTGTAAATGGGACCATAAAAACCACTGACATGTCGCACTAATTACCTACTTCCTACTTCCTACTTCCTACTTCGTAAATTCGAATGGATGGACGGGTACGGAGTATGTATGGACCTTTACCGATCCCTGTGCCGAGGACGCCGCCGCAAGCATCCAGGAAGAAGGGGGGGCCCGTAGGCTACATGCGTCTTTGCGCGTCGACAGGAACAAGGCTAGCTGGTACAGTACGGACATCAGGAGGAATAACGCCTCGATTTCACCTCGAATACGGAATACCATATAAGATACAAGAAAGACATCGGCAGACATGTGAAACAGCTCAAGGGAAGCTAAGAATTGAATGGGAAGAGAAAGTACAACATCGGCCAGGGCCTCCGCACTTCTGGAAAGGGATATATATTATTGCTGATTATTTCTTGGGACTTTGCGAAGTGATTATCCATGTCGGTACATATAGGTATCCGCGCTTGGTGGGTCTTCACTCCTCAGTGGGCCCCCAGTCCTGTCTGGGCCAAGTCTACGTTACAACGTCGCACACGAGATAATTTCCACCAACGTACAGACTACAACGTAATTATAGTAATTGCTGCATATACCCATGCAAGCTCGCGTGCCCTCACCGGCAACATATTGGTCCGAATCAGGGAGGTTGGGGTGGGTGGAGGTGGCGGCTGCGGGTAATGGAGATGAAAACAGATGCACTGCAAAATAAGACACGACAAAAGGGGACGATGGGGAGAACATCTCTGACGCGAGTGGTCCAAGTCTCGAGAGTCAAGACTGCTAGGCTCGCAGCTGACATCTGTCAAAGCCGGAGTATAAGGCTCAAGAAGAGACCCTGGCCAGTCCTCCGGACTGATTCTTGCGGTCTGCCGTTGCTCTTATTCACCCGTCCCCGCCGAATTGGGACTCGGAGAGGTCCTCGACTCCTCGTACAACAACGACGAAGCTCCCCATGATCCATCTCATCTTCGTCTTGACCATGGAGCACAAAACGGCCGTCACCTCGCATATCCTGCACCATGCGACGCACAACGGTCATTCCCCACATCCGGACGAGGTGGACGAGGCCGTTACCAACGACGAGCGGAGGGAACGTCGAGGTGAGAGTCTATGGTACGGAGCAGCTCAATAGCACATCAACAACCCGCCCTTCATTCGTCGGATTTCACACCGAGAATCGAGTGTATCGAGCAAACCGTTCGCAACATGAATGCTTTATACTCACGCGTGCTTGTCCTGGTGTTTTAGGCGCGTCTTGAATGAGAGGCAGATCAATGTGAGTCCCATCGCGGCTTTCATTCCCTACACACTCTTACTCACTTCCCACCGGAGTAATAAAACTGACTGGTGTTTTTGCAAAACCAGATGATAGCGTTTTCTGGGTGCGTACACCGTATAGGCAGTTGAATATCCTTTTCGTCGTGGCCCTCGACTTACCATTGCCGTCATCTCAACTCTCTTGACAGAACAATCGGAAATGGTACCGACCCTCCCCTTTCGTCGCCGCGAAGTCCCTAAAAAAAGAAGAAGACGAAAGGGAAAACCCAACTTACACAACAATTGCATTCTTAACATCTAGGTCTATTTCTCGGAAGTGGCAGGTCAATTGCGAGCGCAGGGCCCGGCGGCGCCGTCCTGTGCTACCTGCTAATGGGCACCGTCATCTCGTCCGTCATCTCCAGCTTGGGCGAGATGACAGCCCTGATGCCCGTCAACGCCCCGATGATGGAGTTTCCCCGACGATTCCTCGATCGTGGTGTCGGCTTGGCCGTTGGCTGGATGTACTGGTAAGACAGTCACTAGGAACGGTGAAGTCGATGGAAGTGTGTTTGGGCGATTCTGGGCCAGTCTTTGCTGACGACTGCACATCATGCATGTGACGATTCAGGTTTGCCTATACTGTCCTCGCCGCTGCTCAGCTCGTCGCCGTTTCGAATCTTATCGGGTTCTCTTACAATGACGGAAAGACCTTTCTCAGCTGGGAGACCGGCCAGAACGTTGACAATGCTGTCTGGATCACCGTGTTCCTCGTCATTGTAATAATTGTCAACTTGTTTCCCGCCAAAGTGAGCCTCCTTAGTCTTTCGCCTTTTCACCCTCTTGATGGGGTGCTTCTCTTAACTCTACTATCATACTCTCCTCGGAACCGGAACTCTCTCAACTCACAACATCCCTCAGTACTTCGGAGAACTGGAGTACGCATTCGGAAGCATCAAACTAGCCTTTATCGTCGTGCTCATTATAATGATGCTCGTCCTTGGTGTCATTACGCGTGAGTTACCTAACTCTTCCGAATTTTCATCTTTCAGTGGTCCAGGGTCCTAACTTGGTTTATAGCGAGACCAGAGGCGTACTATGACACCCCCTTAGGGACGAAGTGTATGTTATCACGCCTCCCCTGACGCTGACCGGGAAAGCTGATCTGTGCTGTTTCAAAGTCTGGAACGCACCCTACTGGTTCTTTAATCTGGGTTATCCAGTACGCGACGAGAATAACGAAGTTCAACGAGTCATTACTGGCTCCCTCGGTACCCTCCTGGGAGTTTGGTAAGACGTCAAGTGTCACCCATCTCCCCGAATCAGCCTCTTTGCAAAGCTTGGCTATTTCATTTAGCCTTCAGAAGCCCAGATTGTGCTTTACGCTGACTGGCCGTCGCCTCATGCACCCAGGACAACATTCATCAACGTCCTCTTCTCCTTTGTAGGAATGGACATCGTCGCTGCCACCGCCGCCGAGAGCCGCGCCCTCTCCGACTCGGAGAGCATGAAGATGGCCGCCCGCAAGATCAACATCCGCATCATTACCCTGTACACACTCTGCGTCCTGACCGCCTCCTTCCTCGTGCCGACCGACCACCCTTTCCTCAACGGCGGCGGCCAGTCCGTCGGCTCGCGCTCCGTCTTCATCATCGCCGTCGTCGAGGCCGGCATGCCCGCCGCTGCTCACGCCTTCAACGCCATCTTCGTCTTCTCGTCCTTCACATGTGCCATTAATTCCCTCTACATCGCCTCGCGGGTGCTGCACACCTTGGCGCTGCGCGGCCAGACGGGTCCCGAGTTCATCACGAGACGGCTGCGGCAGTGCCGGTCTGGCGTTCCCATGCGCGCTGTCATGGTGACTTCTGGAGTGATGTTTATCGGGTACATGGGCCGCTCAGGCTCGCCAGGCGCCGTACGTATATCCCCCGCCCCCCTTCTTGAGTTACCTTTACCATGACCATACGCTGTGGTAATGCAAGAAAGCAAGGATTGAACCGAACAGAGGTTAACCCCTATTTCAGAGGTTGGACGAACTTGCCAACAACTGCACCGTCTCGTGCCTGATTGTGTACGGCACCATCTGCGCCACGTATCTGTGCTTCTATAAGACGTCAGTCCTCCCCTACTCCGTCAAATCGCTGGCAATTGAGGCCAGGCTTTTGATCTGTGAGTCAACTGACTCTTGTGCTCACATAGTCTCGAGGATGCCAAACTGTACGAGACCACATCCGAGGTCCAAGCTGCCAGCTACGACCGGAACAACCCACTGTATCCGTACAAGTCGCACGGCCAATGGCTCAAAGCATGTTACGGAATGGTATCCTGCGGCATCTTGATGTTGCTCAACGGCGTGGGGGCGTTCTTGGAAAAGCCCTTCAACATCAGGAAATTTATCTCTGCCTACATCAGTGTACGTGGCCACAGAGAATATTGGACACGACGTCGTGTCGTAGAACGCAAGAAACTGATTTCTGAGACCACCTAGCTTCCCGTATTTATTCTTCTCATTATGGGTTACAAATTGCGAAAACACGGGCTTCGCTTTTCTGACTGGGGCCCAGAAAGGTCCCAAGACTTGGGCGGTGCCGTGCAGGCCGCTAGTGAGAAGCGGAAGGGAAGGCTGGAGCTCCCTGACGAGGGCTTCACAAAAGAGAACTGGAGGACATTGTTCCACTGGGCTTGGGTATGGTTGCAATAGGTATCCTCAACTATCTTCGGATGTCAGGTCAGGTTGTATATGTATATTGAGTGCTATGCTGGATGATGTTTAATATTACCTATGTGGGCTCGTGTCACGGTATGCTCCGATCGGGGGAGTTGACCACGTGTATCTGCTGGAATACCCCTTTATTACATGTAGAGAGTCAAGGGCGGAGACTGGATACCATCTCTAAGGTTGTCTTGCGCTACTCACGCATTTTGTAACAATTGACACTATTCTGGAGTCGGTCGAGGAACGACATCCGACTGTGTTCCCAACGGCGCGTGGCACGGGTAGGCTGTAGCTCATCCGGGCTGCCAGTAAGGCGACACGGCCCGAGGCCCTGAGTACGCTTTACACATGTCTGGCAAAAGGGGGATGAGTTCCGTACATGTACCCAATAGCTCTTTGCCTCTCGACGAAGAGTCGAGGAGGCAGTGACAGAAATGGGACCCTACTTTGGTCGCGCAACGGTCTGTACCAAGGGGGCACGTGGTTGTGGGAACCTGAATCCAAGCGGCTGGCATTGACAGACTGCCTAGCCTGTTTTGGCAATTTTCTCGTCAATGCCTACCACTTACGACAGTGGCGCCTCAAATAAGCTACTACACGTGTGCAAATTCTTGTTGAACTGGCAACAGGGGTAGTTACATGTATATTCCAAGAATACCAAGAGCCCAGGGCTTTGTGCTAGAGGTGGCGTTTTCAAAGTGCCGGACATTGCCATATTGGTGTGACCGGTGTCGGCGCCGTTTCCGAGATTTGGGTCGGCGAGTTGACCGAATACTATTCGCCCCCCACATTGTGAGGGGTAAATGTGGAGCTGTCTCCGCACCACGGCTCAGTAGCGTTCTTTATTCCCCTTGATATTGTGAGCAGCACTGCCGAGAGCAAGGAATATATGTCGGGCATGGAGAAATTGTTTGCACTCTTCTCAGCAGCATAATTGCCAGGTCGCCTGTCCCGGTGGTGCTTGGTGTTGCTGATAAATCCGACATGAGAGGTCACGACGTGTACCAGACTCGTTGGTTGGGCCGGGTATAACAGTATAAGACGAAGTCCACAATTGGAGAACACTGCTGCAAAGGCGGTTGGTTCGTTTTTAAGCTTAATTTTATCCCGTGTGGGTTTCTGTTGATTTCGAAAATTCCTGGGTTTATTCCTTGACCCAGTGAGCTACCGAGACTAGCCCCTGGCAAAACAAAAGGGTGATACTGTAATCCGTGACCCACTCAGCCGAGTCCTTGGACCATTGGTCTACACGTGTACTTCTTTCGATTCTTTTGCGGCGTTATCCCACTTTGCCCGTCGATGTATTCCTTATTTACAAGTTCGAGGCGGGCTATTGTCAGCCTTTATTTCCCATCAACCTCCCTCGAATATATAGGCGCTACGCCGAAAAAGTACAGGAAACCGACTGTAGTGCAGCATGCCTTCCAGGCTAGTTGGTGCGATGTACGGACGCCGGCACCTAACCCGGCGCCAAGCTTGAGCGAACACGGAAGAGATTCCACGAGACCCCCACCACTTCCCCGCATTCTATCCCGCATATCAACCTGGATGCGAATTTTGGGTGGGGATTCCCCGCAATTCTCCGCGTCGGCTCCATCTCCGTGATCCCAGCGTTACCTATCTCCCCTAGTTTGACTGGGAGATATAAAAGAAGGAAGCAAGTATAAAAAGTCGAAGTCGATCACCACCCAACGGGTCTCAATTGCTCTTCTTCTTTTGTTCTTTCTGGGTCTCTTTCGATTTGCCGTCTTCTGTTCTATACGACGCTGTCTTGTTAAACTTCTTTCCCTGTGCTCTTCCTTGGGTCCCGGCTCAAATCCTCATAAGACTCAACCATGGCTTCGGAAAAGCCAACTGCCGGTATTAACCATTCGGACGTCATCTCCACAGCCAAGCTGAACGAGAACCAACTCGAGCGCCAGACCACAACAGGAGATGACAGCACTTACCAGAAGGTCCCTATCAGGGAGAAGATCGACGAGTTTGGTGCCCACGACAAGACTGATCCCAGGGAGATTGCCCTGGTGAAGAGACTAGACCTCTTCATCTTGGTGAGCAGGAACTCCCACCCGCCGCCACGGGTTCCGACTTCTTTTTGCTGACACGTGGTATAGCCCATCCTTTGGCTCATGTATCTCTTCAACTATCTCGACAGGACCGCCTTGGTAAACGCCAGACTGAACGGTTTGGAGGACGACCTTGACTTGGAGGGCACGCAGTACAACACATGCGTGTCCATTCTATTTGTCGGGTACTGTGCCAACCCCGGTCTTCCCCTCCGTTGGCTATTTGATCATTGGTCTTTACGAATGAATTATGAGACCGGGTTTGTTAACATATCAAACACCCCATACACAGGTACATTTGCGGTCAAGTACCCTCGAACATGCTCCTGAACCGTATCAGACCATCGTGGTACATGGCTGGTTTCTGCTTTGCATGGTCCATCGTCAGCTTGCTCACTTACCTTGCTGAGGACTACGGCGGCATGGTTGCCTGTCGGTTCCTGCTGGGAATTACCGAAGCTCCGGTGCGTTCAATCACCAACCTTTTGAAGCAACAGGGCAGCAACGGTTTTAACTAACACATCTCCCTAGTTCTACCCCGGTGCCCTCTACATCATTAGCTTGTTCTACACCCGGAAAGAGATGGCCACCCGGATGTCTCTCTTTTACACTGCCAACATGCTGGCGAGTGCTTTTTCGGGATTGATCGCTGCCGGTGTCTTTGCCGGTCTTGACGGTGTCAGAGGACTGTCAGGATGGAGGTGGTAAGAGTTAAAGACCCGGCCACCACTCGCTGCCCTCTCAGCATCCATGGGGGGGGGGGGGTTCTTTTTTGCCCCCGCGTATTACATTCCATTCTTCTAACCTTCTTTTCACTACTCTAGGCTCTTCATCATTCAAGGCGCCGTCTCCGCCATTGTCGCAGTTTTCGCCTTCTACCTACTCCCAGACCACCCCCTCCAAACTCGCTGGCTTACCCCCGAGCAGCGTCAACTTGCCCACAACCGTATTGCCCTTGACACCACCGACCACCGCGAGGGCACCAGCGTCTGGGTGGGACTCCGCGAGGCCCTTTCAGACTGGCGCACCTGGGTCTTCTGCCTCATGTACAACTTCCACCTCTCGTCGATCAGCTTCCAAAACTTCCTCCCCACCGTGATGGAGACCCTGGGCTACGAGAGGACCATCACCCTCGTGCTGTGTTTCCCGCCCTACTTCTTCGCCGCCGTCATGGCCGTTGCCATCGCCTACAGCTCGGGCCGCTTCAACGAGCGTACTTGGCACACCACCGTATGCAAGACCATCGTCGTGGCGGGGTTCATCATCCCCGCCGTCTCGTACAATATCGCGGCGCGCATGGTCGGCATCTTCCTCTTCGTCGGCTTCTCGTTCGGCATCAATAACGTCATTCTGGGCTGGACGGCCGCTTCCCTGGGTCAGACCAACGAGAAGAAGGCCGTGGCGATCGCGGTTTGCAATACCTTGGGCAACCTCTCGTCCGTGTACATGCCGTACCTGTGGCCGCAATCGCATCACCCTCACTACCTGCCGGCTTGGATGGCGAGCATTGCCTTTTCTGCCGGTGTTGTTGTCTTGGCTTGGTTCATGCGCATTATGCTGCGGAGACAGAATAAGAAGATGAGGGAGATGAACCCCGAGATGGCCAACTTTTATGTATACTGACCTAGTAGCGTTCATAGCTGTGGCATGCCACGTCTCAACAATTTCCGGGAAGCGCTCGTTCTTCGATGACAGAGATTCGGGGGTTCGATATCATCATATTACCGTTAATTGTACCATTACCGTCATTACGCCCTTGCACCGTGTTTCTACAAGCAAACCCCTGTGCTTGTTTTGCCTTCATTTTCAGCATCCCGCCCCCCCCAAACCCCCTTCTAGCGAAAGCTAGTCACCTTCCCAAACGTGTCCGACATGCCCCAGATACCGGCCCGAAGCGCGCTCAACTGAACAATCTGCGAATGATCGACGAACAAGTTCACATCGATCCCAAACTCCCGCACGTACCAGTTGAACACAGCCGGGTCGGCCGCCTCAAACATGACCTTCTCCATGGGCAAGTCGCGCAAGATGGTCTGAATGACATCGGTGTGCCACGTCTCCACGTTCTCCGTGATGCCCTCGCTCTCGATCATGAGGCGCTCGACCCCGGCGTCGAGGAAGCGTTTCCCCAGGTTGACGACCTTGGACGGGTCGGACTGGCCCATGCTCTTGAGTTCCGACGCCGCCGTGTCGCCGCCGGCGCCGAACTGGATCCCGATTTCCGGTTTCGGGGTCAGCCCGGCGTCGCGGACCCGGTCGACGAGGCGCAGCCAGTCGTCGGGCGGGAGGGACAGGAAGCCGGTGGATAGCTCGATGACGTCGAAGCCCATTCGCTTGCAGGTCTCGAGGTAGCGGTCGACTGCGTTTTGTGGGTTGGCTGAGTGGGTTAGGATATGCTCGATCCAGCCGCCCTTTGGGGTTCATTAGTCGCACGACTTTTGTCAAACGCCAACGAGAGTTGAGGTTAAGTAAAAGTTCCTGTGTTCGGGGAAGATCTTGAAAGGAGTGCGTACAGTTGAGACGTAAACGTCGTGATGGTGAGCCAGAGCGATTAGTTCATGGAGTTTCTCTTCGGGGAAGAGAGAAAAGGAACCCCCTGCAAACTTTAGGCCGTCGACGTAGTAGCCCATACTGCACAAGGCCGCAGTTAGCTTGATAAAGGAAACTGTGAGTCTGTGAGGTGGAAGAGCATGAACATCTCTCACTCACGTCTCGAGCACATCCTGGAGGTAGTTCTTGCCCATGACGGAATAGTAGGGCCCTCGAATTTCAGTGACTGAAGTCTTCCTTGGTTTGGGGTCTCGAGGATTATGGCGAATGAATCCAAAACCGTTCTTCTCGTCCTCTAACATAACATTGGGTCGGTGCAAGGCAGACCCGGCACGGAATGGGGTGAGCGGCCGCCCTTGCGTGATGGTAGAAGAGAAGGTAGAAGAGACACCCGGAACACGGGAAACGGGCCCGGCGGATGGGAAGGCCGGTCGGGGCCATCGGGCTGCTCGGGCGACTAGACCGGAGCTTTGGACGGCGAGCCGCGGTAACATGTTAGTCGAGATTATTCTGCTCTTTGGCTCGCTTGATAAAATTCTTCTTGCCAGGAGAGCTGGAATCGGTTTGGGAGAAGATGGTCTCGAGTAGTTGAGTTGATTACAGTATCGCACGTGGAATGTCACCCAATGGCATGTATTATTATGTATACCGTACCGATGAGTGGTGTGACATCGTCATTAGCTCAACTTCAGTTATGATGACAGCATTATCAACTCATCACCCGAAACTCCTTCCTCTTATACTAAGTACCTACTCGGGGGGGGG